AGGCTTAGAAGAAAGCAGCACCTTTGAGATTTTTGTCAATTAGTCTAATTTAAGTGGAATTGACCATCTTAGAACATTCTTGTGGAACACTGAGAGCCCAAATTATAAGTTTTACAGTATATACATCTACACAGAGTAATATATACACACACACACATATCTCATTGTGATATTATCAATGCCGTTTTTTTGTTCAAAATAAGGCAACCTTCTTCATTTGGTGGTTGGGGAAGACAGGCAGCAGAACAATGATATATACACTTAAAGAAAGATAGTAAGTTTTGGTCTTAGATATTTTTTACTGTGATGAGACATTTCCGCTGTTCAGTACAGCTTTAAAATGCAGAAAAATATATTTGTAAATATGATTTGTTACAAATAATCTCTCTCTAAAAACTTCATGCTTGAGTTAATTCAATGTTGTTTTTCTTTTTTACATATGTCTGTTTTATTCATTCCTTTCTTGCTGATCTACTACATGGAATTATCTTGAAGGCGTGAAATTATCAATCCTATAAAAATCATCATGTTGCAATAAAATTCTGTCATTTGTACTTTCCAGCAATACTTGGATTCCACAAAGAAATTCTATCGAGCAGAACTAGAAGCAGTCAATTTTAAATACACTGAAGAAGAAGCCAGAAAGAAGATTAACTTCTGGGTGGAAAATGAGACAAAAGGTAAAGAAGAATATGTGCAGGTTGTTTGGTTTGCAATCCAACCAGTTAGGCGTATCATGTCTGAATTTCAGTTTCCACCTTTTTTTCCAAAGATAGTAAGATTTTTGTATATTAAACACTTACTGCATTTTTTTGCTCAATAGGAAATAAATGTAGGAAGAAGTACAAAAATGCCTTGAGTTCCTGGCTTCAAAAGCTGTACATAAAGTTTTTGTTATTTGTCTGACAGCATTATACTACTTTTCAGATTTACAGGATTAATTATTAATAGTCAAATGCAGCTGATTGCCTGAACAAAGTAATAATTCTTTTTAATTCATTATTTTTAAAGGTAAAATCAAAGACCTATTTGCTGCTGGGTTTATTGATCCCTCCACAGTACTTGTCCTGGTCAATGCTATATATTTTAAAGGAAAGTGGGCAGTGGAATTTAAGAAAGAAGACACTAAAGAAACATATTTCCGACTGAACAAGGTACAGTATGGGCAGGAACTGAAACAGCTAGGGGATGGAAATCAGATGTCAGTCTCCTATAACAACAGATGGGAGCTTTCCTCCTCTCTGTTATCCCAAGACAAAACACTGGTCTTCAGCTGGAACAATGGAAAGCTGCATCTTCTCTCCAGTTTGACAACCAAACATGTAACTGTTTCTGTCACTTCCCATCAGAAGTGGCTCCCGTGCAGCTGAGATCCTGGTTGGGTCAAAGCCACTGAGCACGTGCACTGACTTTGTTGGGGATTTCACAACTAAGGATGCCGTTTCAAAAACAGTCTGCTTTCGGGACTGAATTTGAGGATTCTCTTCCTCTGCTATTATTTACCAACAGAACAATGTTTGTTTTCAGGAAAAATGAGCTAAAGACAAATTGTCTCAGGAGAATGTATACATTATTCATGAAGAATTTAGATTCATGGCTGCATCAGATGCATCAGTTTCCTCATCTGACATGCCACAAAAAAGAATGACATAACAAGGGACTTGTGGGTAAAGTAATCTGGCACCAGTAGAAATAGAAAAGTAGGTTTTATGCTTCTAAAATGGATGCCTTCATTGGAGCTACAGTTAAGAGGTAGGAACACAATGCTACGAGTATATTAAACCCACGACCAGTGTAAATAATGTTTTCTGGACTGAACTCTAATCTCAATACTGAAACCAATTACAGCCAGAGTGGTCATTTCTGTATTTCTGTGTTTTCTGCTTAACATGTTTCATGTGTTCCAGAATGAGAAAAGGACAGTGCAGATGATGTTTCAAGAAGGTTATTTTAACATGGCCATTATAGAGGAACTGAAAATGAAAGTGATAGAGCTCCCATACTTCAGGAATGAACTGAGCATGTTCATTCTTCTTCCTGAAGCTGTCTGTGAGGACTTTACTGGCCTAGAACAGGTAATACTTCTTTTTCTCTCTAGTAGCATACATAAGGGGCTGCAAACAGAGCAATAATTTAACATTGCTCCAGTGTGGTCAGAAGACAAGTGGGAAAACCTGAACCTTACTATCTTTCCCTTCCGTTCATTATGGTGTCAATCATTATTATCAATACCGCCTTACAGCTTGAATGCACCCTCACATATGAAAAACTAGCAGGATGGACCAGCTCGGCTAGGATGCAACAGCTGAGAGTGAAGGTGTACCTGCCCCAGTTCAAGATGGAGGAAAGTTATGTTCTCAACAAAACTCTCCAGGAGATGGGACTGATGAATGTTTTTGACTGGGGAAAAGCGGATTTGTCAGGAATCTCTAGGAAAGATGGTTTAGTTGTGTCCAAGGCCATCCAGAAGTCATTCATGGAAGTCAACGAAGAGGGCACTGAAGCAGTTAGTGCCATGGGACTTGTTGCAGTGCCTCTGTGTCGCCCAGTTTCTTATGAGTTCAAAGCTGACCATCCATTCCTCTTCTTCATCAGACACAACCCAACCAACACCATTCTCTTCTTTGGAAGATATTCCTCCCCTTAAGTGGAGGTTATTTTGGAAATTAGATCTTTCTCCCCACTAACATTGCATTGGCAAGCACTGAGGACAAAAGATGAGCACATTTACACATTTTCGCTAGGCTTTATCTTAATGTGTTAATTTGCTGCAAAAAAGACTATCTGACAAAAGCCAAATTAGAGGTAAAAACCTAAAAAACATTAACTATTTCCTTTCTAACATCAACTTCAGGCATGTTTTACTTTTAGGAGGCCTCACTAAAATGAATTCTACCTTAAAATACACTATGTGGTACTTGCCAAAGAGCTGTAGGCCTCTAGAGACATCTGCATAGAAAATCTTATTTTGATCCTTTCCTAATGTAGCATGTCTCCAATAAACCCATGATTTTAGTGCCCTAAAGATGAGTGATGGATTCTCCCACATGAAGGAGACAGGAGGATAGGGATCTGCATTAAAAGGATAAACTTAGGTACTCAGTCTCTTTTAGCTTTACCTACCCAACCTCTGTATAGGTCTCAAGGAAAATGCCACTTTGTATGGAAGTAGCAAAGTATTCCTGTGGGACCTCTCCTTTAAACGTTGATTGGGGGTAATGGTTCAAGCTGGAATGAAGCTCTCGGGATTTGTTCTCCAAAAGCAGAGAAAGCAGAAGACTTTTCTGGTGTAATCTTGCTTGTTCTCAAGCAGGGCAGACCCATTCCTTATTTTTTCCTGTGAGAAACCCTGTATGTGCTAGAAAGTTCTCCAACTTCTTCATAAACTTCCACGTAACAAAAACAGGGTTTCAGAATAATGGAAGGCCTTTTCTGACAAGGCCTGCTCTGCGATGACTGTGAATTACACTTAATTCCCACATAAAACTTTAAGCTGTGATCAGCCATTCTTGCTTTAAAAAAAAAACAGCTCTCTCTCTTTGTGCCTCTGATACCATGAGTTTCTTGTTCCATCTGTTTTGTTCCTCATCAGCATAAAAAACTAATAAAAACATCTATAGTGATGGTATTTAGATGGGTAGCCTGTATTTGTTCCATTTATCATAATAAAACCACTGCAAACTAAATATTAAATATAGTAGTCTGCAGAATTAAGTGTAGGAATAGTCTAATATAATATAATTCCTTCCTAACTAAGGAATAGTCTAATATAGCAGGTAAAAATAATAGTAATCCTTTCAAAAGTGTCTAAGTGACACTGAAGTCTACCTCCCATTTTTAAATATTCATTGTGCTAAGTTTAGGCACTGGACAACTCGACATTAGGATAGGTAAACCCTGAGCCTCACCTACTTCTTCTCTCTTGCATTTGATTTTTCCAGGGAATTAAGAGTACAGTTTTAGGGCATGGCTGAGCCAGTCTAATGCCATTGAGGATGCTGCTGCTGCTCCCCTTCTCTCTTTCCTTCCATGTGTTCCTGTTCCCTCCCTTACGCCACCACTATTACTTGCCTGACTAGGTGATGAGCAGTTCTCTGGGACCTAAATCGAGAGGAAAATTTTTGGTGAGGTTTATTTGCTTGCTCATGACCTAATTCCCTAAACCACCTCCTGGATGTTGCAGAGGAAGGCGTAGGGAGGGGTTACGGAGAAGAGAGCAGCCCACCCAGTTTGGCAGCAGGCAATGTCCAAAATCCACAGACTCGTGAAAAATACTTGCTTTTAAAGGAGAAATATTCCACCTCTTTGATGACTCACTCTCCTTTTCCTGTTGCTCGCTGATGGGAAGAAGGTAAACGCTGGGAGCATACTAGTGCCATTTCAGAACTGCGGATTCAAAGGGCTCTTCCAAATGCTGAGATATGCAGGAAAAATTACAGTAAATTACAGTACTCAACGCAAATTCAATTGCTAAATAAAGCAGACTCATGATAGCCTGTGGAGCTGTCTCACGTGGCTGCAATTTCAGTATGAAATACAGCCTGCAATAGTAAAATTACCAGTAGAGGCACGGTTTTCATATCAATTAGCCGGTAAGAGAAGAGAACACTGAACACAGGCTGTGGGGTCTTCTGATGAACAGGGTATGCAAAAAATAGCCATGCATGTTTTTCAATGACTGACGTCAGTATTTTGTGTATATCCGGTTCGTCTCGAATATAAATTACTTACATTAAAAAAAGTGAAATGAACAGTGTTAGAATGTATTAGCTTGCATAATCAGACCTATATATTTTCAGATAAAATGTAGAAGAAAAACTATTAATGGAATATGTGATAAAGGCAAGTGCTATATAATATCCTGAAGAGCATGAGTCTCACAACAGGAAAAGGAATTCTGTGTGTCAGCAAAGGAGAAGGTGTGGCTGAAACAAGGATTGTCTCTTAGTTTACTACAGCAGAAGTAGTCACTTATGATCTTTGTATTATTGTTTTTTAAACTTGCTCCAGAGATATCTAGATAATTTTGAAACAAGGAAGAAAATATAGTATAAATAAAAAAAATCTATTTTCTCGTCACATAATCTTTTTTCTAATTGCCGTCTTGATTTATAAAACATCTAAAAATGTGGTGAAAACAACCAGGAGCTGGAAAGTAGCCTACTGCTGCTAGTGTAGTGGTAGCAGCTCCTAGTGTAGAGGGCAGTGCTTCAGCAAAATCAGAGATATTTACTTAAAAATAGAAGGTAAACCCTCTGCTCTGGCAGCAAGTGCTTCTCCTGTGGGGAACTTGTGGCTTGTAAATGTGCAATGCCAAACAACAGAGCTTGCAGAGCAGAGAAAAGCTGCTGACTCCAAATGGTGCCTGGAGCAGAGACGATCCTGAAGGGGATGCCACTGCCTCTTCCCCAGGGACAGGCTTGATGCTGAGTGTGGCTGCACAGCCTGTTGAACCGCGCCAGCATACCTCACCGCCTACAAACATGTACCCTGCCAAAAAGCAAAGCAAAAGAAGTCAAATACTACTTGCATGAGCATCCATGGACAGATAACGGCCATTTGGCCCACACTAAACAGATCTGTGTCTTTCCATGGTCTGATTACTGAGTAACTCTCAATTTACATATTCGCCTTTTCACAGGACTCTCATCTCTCTGATGGTTGCAGTTCTCCTCAGTTTTCTCTGATATTTTTCTTTCCGTTAAACTGTTTCTTAGCACCTATGTATAACACAATTGTTTTTATATCTTCAAAAGTTTTGCAATGGATGGACAAGAAGGGCAGAGGAAGATTTTTGGGTTGTCGCTGAAAAAGTCAGAGAGCAGTTTTGAGTAATACTTTTTTTCCCATATGAAGACTAGCGCTTATTTCCTTCAAACTATAACTGGTAGAAGGTTTTATACCAGGAAGTCCTGGTTCCTTATGATCTCAGTAAGAAAGGCACTCAGACTCTGTAAGGTATCGCTTCAAATGCCATTTATTGGAGCTAACACTGTAAAGAAAAAGAAGAAAGCATTGATAAACTTAGGTCCCTCCAGAGGCTGCACAGACGAGCTACTCAGCAGCTTGCACCGCTTGCCAGAGAGCACCACGAGCATGACACAGTTGCAGTGAGTGAGATCCAGCTACCTGAGGAGCGGCAGTTGGGCAAGCCTCTTTCTTTGTTTCGGCAAATGTGTGCAGCAGAAAAAAAAGTCACCGGTCTACTGCTGCTTGATTGCCAACCAGCAATCAAGGGGCACAGAGGACTGGTGGATGTGCTTGGCCTCCTTTTACCTTGGGTTGCTGTGCAAACACAATACACCTTGACATACCAGCTACTATGAGCTCTGAAGGGGAAAGGACACATTAGGCATTAACTTTACCCCAGGCCTGACACACTGACTCTCTGAGAGGTTTAACGCAAGCTGCTGGTTGTCTTAAAAGTGCTAGCACTAATACCAATGGCAGTCCGCCTCGGACTGTGTGCACACCACACAGAGCTGATCATCTCCAGCACAGCAAATATCACGACTGAATAAAAAGCATCTGAAATCCTGTAAATGTGACTTCTCTGGCCACATTTGAGTTCACTGGGAGATGCCAGTATAGCCTCTGCTAAGCATGATGCAGATAGGCAGGCCATCCAAAGCATAAGCAAACATTACTCCCAAACACTGCAAAATAGTTGCTGAGCAACCATAAGATATGAAATGTGAAAATCTGAACAGAGAAATGTTGGAAAGAGTTGCTTTTTTTGCTGCTTAATATTTCCTTGATTATGCCAATACTGGGGAAGAATGGCAACCCCCATGAATTGGTTTAGGAACAGCTCCACAATGGACTACCTGGCAGATGAAGGGCAGCAGTGTCCTTGCTGACCTCTTTCCTGGGACAAACATGGATATGGGGAGGAATTTAACCTGTTAGTCTCACTTTACAGTGCTACACTCTTAGCTTTTGAATGTCAGGAGAAGCATCTGATTTCCCCAGGTCCAATGCCCTATTTAAAATTACAAAAGAGCACTTGTCTGCTGATGACTGCACATGGATAGCCCATTCTGATCAAAATTTTCGGCTACTCACAGGCTGCTTCTGCAACCACTTTTGCACTAACGTTCAGTGTAGAAAAAAATACAAAACAAACCCAAGGGTGTGTAGTGGCAGACTGCCCTCTGGAGAAGTACTGCCCCACCCATGACTACTGGCAGAACCAAACTTCCTCTCTTCCATGAGCTCATTTACTTCAGGTGTTTCAAACTCTTTTGCCTCCCTTGACAAAGTAGTTTTTCACATTAGGGCAGCTAGCATAATTCAGAAACCGAGCAGTTATCAGACGTTCAACCAGGTTACCTGTGTGGAGAACTGTTGTGGTGATCGTGCTGTGACAGAGGTATGAAATGTAGAGTGTACAAAGAAGGCAAATATATTGGCTGGGGAACATAGCAGAAACACCTACATGCCCTCTTCGAGAGGAGTTGGTGCAACAAAATGTTTGTTGAGAAAATCTTGGATGTTAGGCAAAGAGCTGGCCATCTGTGCAGGGCCAGTTGTGTCCTTCAGGTGCGTGCTCCACAGATGTCCACACAGAACAAACACATTGAACCAGAGTGTACAAAGGAGTGTGGGTGCCCAGAAAGGCTCTTCATGGAAGCCCCAAAGGCATGT